TCATTGAATAGAGACATTGCTTCCCAAGTGACAGGCGCCACTCGAGGTATGATCTCAGGGCAATGTTGAAGGATTTGGAAGATAAGCGACATGTAGAGGCCTTTAGGCGACGCTTCCAGCTCATTTCCAGATGCCCAAAAGTAGAAAGATGCGATGATGAGGGGTCGGCTTCCAGCCCACTCCATTAAATCGTTGCGGCATCGCTCGAACCGAGCACCACGTGAAACGGGAGTATCCGTCGTATCTTGAGAATGGTATTCCGATGCCGGACTACAGATGAACTTCATCAGGGTAGACTTGCCTGAACCGGCTTTCCCTGTGATCCAATAAAGCTTATTATCGGACTTGAGCCAATCTTTGAAGTTTGACCACTTTTCGGAACCTGCTGAAGGGTGCTCAAATATCCAGCGGAACGTCTCTTGGTGGGCTTCAATGATTCTCGAGTGCCGATCATCCATCACCTTGTAAGCGAAGCTTGCCAAGAATACAGCCCGAAGTCGCATTTCTCGATTACGAGATAAGGTGATTGGTGGACGGTCTCCGTCTCCGTCGTAGTTCACACTGGCTGTTGTCAAATGGATTCGCTGAAGCACTCCACGTCGCAACTCCACTGCGCTCTTTTGTCGCTCTTCTGGTTCAGTGTCGAGAGAACGAACGATAAAAGCGATAACCGCATCGCCTGGTGCATACCATGCAGTGTCCTCGCCTTCATTGAGCGAGGTGCTTTTGAAGGCCCCGGTGCTTTCCTCTTGGATGATGTCAAGCCTCTCGAGAATGGCAATTTGTTGCCCTTCTGACTTCGTCGCGTAGTCCCTGGGAAGATGCAGTTAGCGTCAGAAAATAGCTCGAAGTCCACTCTTGAAGAGGCGACTATCATGAGGGAAGAATGGATGTATTTGGAGCATCATGAGGACATGGCGTTTATCGTACCTCAGTGAGTTCAGGAGTGCGGTGTTCAAATTCTGGTTCAAAGACGCAACCTCGCTCCTCAAACTCTCAATCTTGTCCCGATTCCATGTTGCCTTGAATGCGTTGACAACAACACCGCGCGCTGTCTTGTCATCTGTTATGCCGATTCGATCCAGGGAGTTTTTGATTTCTGCAAAGTGTCTGGTGCATACGTTTGCAACTTTTATGACCTCTGGGTGCTGTAGTAACAGCAGTGACCGTTCAGATTCGGGGATTTGCAGCCGCTCCAAGGCAGCCTGTTGGCTTTCCACAAGATAGCGAAGACTCTGCAAGTCACCAGGCGCGCTCCCGCCCGCACGATGGATCTCGCGGCATTTGTTCCCAAACTTGGTCGCAAATTCCACGAATTGTAGGACGTTGCCGGCGATGGCGAAAGCAGCAGCGCCTTCTGCCATGTCATCAATGATGTAGCGCGTTTCCGGATTGCTATGCGATAGTTTCTGATGAGCAGGCAAGCAATCACGCGGGTAGCACAGGAAATAAATAGGGGACGGGGTGGCTGACCAGAGAGCCTGATTCTCAGCCCTCGCACCATCATCTGCTCCGCCTCAAGATTGAGACAATGGGGGTCATCAGCAGGCTCCCGACATGTGCAGCCTGTGCTAGATTGGCAGTGGCTGGGTCGGTTGGCTTATGCACTTCGCTGTCTTCTGCCACTCTCAGTTGGATATCGAATCGTTATTGGCTATCCGTGCTTGGGGGTCCAGCTTAGCCGCTACATAAAGTACTTCGCACTTTTTGATTGTGAAGAAGCTAGCAGCCTGCAAATCTTACTCGTTGCTCTGAGCCCGGCTTGTGGGCATTGTTGAGACGATCTTCACAATCAAGAGCGACGACCTGTGAGGTGAGAAAGATTTTGTCAAAGCAACATACGGATTTCCCCTAGTTTCCTCAGAGCAGTCCTTCACTCATCAACCACCAAGTTCAATGTGCAGACTCGTTCCCCTGGACCATACAACCTGAGCTAGACGGGCGGTCTGTTCTGAGCGTCTACGTGTAACAACTACCTCTACATTGTAGATCGCCCCATCGTATCATTCATGGCGTCGCTTTCCCTGTCCCGCTTGCACTACATGTGAGTAATTCAAGATCACTACCTTACTTCATAGATCAAAACATAAGCACAGTTCCAAATGAAGTCGCCAATCTCTCTGAATGCATTTGATTTGAGTAGAATGAGAGAAGACATACTTTCTCCACGCGATCGTATCATAAGTCGAAGACCATTCATGTTACTTTCCCCACATTTGAACGAGATCACTCCCTCTTGATGTGATTGCACCACATCATGCCCTTGAAAAATACCCATCAGCCTGTTCAGCCTCATCTCCAAGCTGGTTGTGCACAATCTCATCGTCAACCGTTACCTTTGTGTTCTCAGATTCTGTTAAGAGTCTGTCAAACGCCTTGATTCGATTACGCATGACGATGCCAAGCATTATGGGAAGTCCAGCATCCTCAGTTATTTGCCGTTTCAACTATAACCTGCGTGCAAGTCTAGTTGATCGCACTTCTGGCAACTTTCAGGCATTTCTTCTGTGATGCCAAATGCGTAGTAATCCTAATCGGAAACCTTGGCATACCCATGATGATACTGCTTCAGTTGCAACTCCAATCCATGTGCCATACTGTATACTATCTCTTGCCTCTCTCTCCATGAACATCGATATTCAAAGGATCGTCATATTTTGAGCCGTCAACTTTACTGCTGTTTGCTTTATGATGTAAAAGCCGACTGGTCGAGGACCACGACACAATGTCTGCGATGGAGAGATGATCTCGTGGAGTGCGACGAAAGACAGAGCCAGGATATAGCTCGGATACGACAAGACCGACACATAACGCGAGTCCGGCGATGACGGCAATGAATAGCGGCATTAAGAAACTCTAAATATGCTGCCGCGCAATTCAGAGTCACACGGGCTGACTACATAAATAAGACTTTGTCTTGTACAGAGACTCTTCGTACATATCACTGATTACCATACAAAGAGATAATCGACTCGCCATGGCCAGCACAATCGGTACTAAAGCTACCCGACGGCCGAGGCTCCTCTTTTAACATCCTTTTGAACCTACCGCTGCTATTATCAACCACGAAAAGGTCAAATCTGTATGAAAATCCGGGGCCATTATGCAAGCTTGTCGCTGTCTTTCCCTTGGTAATTACCTTTTCTTGACGCGTTTTGTTTGTGAAGGGGTTGCCGCGGTTCTACGTGAAGGATGGCGCTGGAGAGGCAACATGGACTTGCAGAGGCCTTGAACACCGGCAGGCTGCACTCCAGAAACCTTGCTTCAGAACATCAGCCTTCCCTAAGACTGAACATGGGAAGGTTGCTGGCAGCGGCATGGTATGGTTTTGATAGGGAAGAATGTATGATAATTTAGAGATACGAGCCGCCTATTGATGTACAAGCTTTCTGCAGGGAAGAATCATTCGACCGTGGGAAAACGGTATTGAGGACGATTTACCATAAAGTGCACCGGCCACGGCGATCTATGGCTGGCGTTGGAACGACATCAGTCTAGGTAAGTCTTTCCCGTGGAAGGAAGATTGAAGAGTTCCAATTGCCGATCGCCAAGATCCAGAAATCACCACAAATTGAGCATTCGGAAAGTAAACCGAGCTTGCTACTGCGTGTACTCAACCGGTGTAATGAGAAAAGTGATGAAGGTTGGCTATCTATATGGATATTAAGGACAAAGTTCAAACAAAGTATGGTTGGCCAAGCAAAAGCCCATATGCGCGAACCTCCGGACATTGCTTGACGGAGTGCACGTGGCGAGTGTAAGTTCTGAAATAGTTTACACTATCACAGCATCGCCCAACAGTCAAAATAGACACAAGAAACATCTTAGTTAACAATCTGCTTGGTTCGCATGAGGTCAGCATGCTGTTCAAGTCTTGAGTAAAGTGTGCACAGCAGTTGGAGGTCCAAAAAAGCTGCAGCCGAACCTTCCATCCTTGCCAAACTTTAACGGAGAATATGACAAACAGGAAAAATCACCGACGACGAACCACAGAATCTAGGCCTCTCTACAAGGTTTTCGCGTGCAGAGTGAGCTGTCAGGCAGTCACGGCAAGTTAAGCGCAGCGTTACGTCCGATTCAATCCCCGTGAGTATCACCTTGGCGCGCGCGGATAACTCAGTCTCGACCTGCGGCGCCAGGAACATCCATTTTTGGTGCTGTGCCTGTGAGAGGTAAATTCAAACGTCTAGGGGCCGGTTCGTCGGTTGGAAATAGAATGGACTGTTTGACATTGATGATGGGTTGGGTGGAGATTCATAGTCTTAGCACCGACATTAAGTTCCAGATTGTGCCTGGCCGATCCGGGGTCCAATCGGTAGCGCATGAACGACAGCGGGAGAGTAACGATAGTGCCGAGTCATTGGTCATAAACAAAATACTGTTAATTGTCAGCCAAATACCAAGCTGTTGCGAAAACGAGGCCCCTTATTGGACCGAGATGAGTTCCGAATCAGGAGTCGCTAAGAAAACGTGTGCTGGCAAGGCTCCTTCTTGATGCCGGCCGGCGCGCCGGTGCCCCGGAATAGTTCACGTCAAGACTCAAGGCCCCTCCGGGTCCCACCCGGCCGCCAGTAGCGGCAGCGAATGATGGGATGACAGCCCCCAAAAAGCCATCTACTTGGTAAGCGACTTTATCTTAACACCCGTTTGCTAAGATGGGGAAACCTCATGACTATGGTGCAATTGGATGCTCAAAATAGTGTCTTCCTTGTCCTAATCCACTCGTAGTAGCGCGCGGTCACTTAGACTTGGAATAGAGATTGTGATCTGTACAGGACGAACCTTCTAAGCGAAGGTCATAATGGCCTCTTAATATGACTTTAGGAAAGATATAAAGAAGATTGAGATCTCATCTCATTGAAGAGAAATATTCCAGATCATCATCCGATCCACTACACATCAAGCGCAAGCGCCATTCTTCTTTGCCATCTCACCTTTATCTTTTTCTTATTCCTTTCTCCCATTCTTTATCCCAGTCCTTCTCGACGAAGCTTTTCAAAATGACGACTAAGCAGGTTCTGTCTCTTCTTCCTCTTCTCTTCAGCGCGGGCTGGTCATCCCCGGCGCCGTTCCCTCCTAAGGGAGGTTACCCCGGCGGTTTCCCGTCTCCAGATGGCAAGCCAGGCTTTGCGCCTTCCGGAGCCGTCCCGTCGTTTCCTCAGGAGTCTGGTGTCGCGACCCCGGTCAACAACGCCCTCAAGCCTGCCGCCAGCACAACCCCAGGCAAGGGGGGCAACAACACAGGCGGCGGCCCGACCCTCCCCGCCGGCTACGCAAAGATCGTCTTCGAGGACGACTTCTCGACGCAAAAGGCCGGCGCCCTGCCTGACTCGTCAAAGTGGACCTTTGACGTTGGCACTGGCTACCCCGGCGGCGCCACCAACTGGGGCACGAACGAGATCCAGACGTACACCAAGGACACCAAGAACATTGCCATCTCGGAGAGTGGCACCCTAACCATCACGCCCATCAAGACCGGCGAGGCGTGGACCTCATCTCGTATCGAGACCAACGCCGCGTCGGACTTCACTTGCCCGGCTAAGGGCAAGCTGCGCATGGAGGCAAGCATCATGATTCCGGCTTCGAACCCGGCAACGCAGTCCGGTATCTGGCCCGCCTTCTGGTCCATGGGCTCCGCCTTCCGCACGAACGTCACCTCGTGGCCCAGCGTCGGCGAGATCGACATGCTCGAGGTCTCCAATGGTGTCGGCACGGTCTTCCAGACGGCTCACTGCGGTGTCATCAACGGCGGCCCATGCAACGAGAAGACCGGTCTCAGCTCCAGCGCCGAGTTCCCGCGTGGCGAGTTTGTCAAGATTGCCTGCGAGGTTGATCGGTCTGCCGGCGGCGGTTTCGCCACTGAGAAGCTTGTGTGGTACCTCAACGACAAGGTGACCAAGACCATCACGGGCCAGGAGATTGGCGACGAGGCTGTGTGGAAGAATCTTGCTCAGACCCCCAAGATGATCCTGCTCAACGTCGCTATCGGTGGCGAGTTCCCTGATGCCAAGGCTGGTACCAAGACGCCCAATGCTCAGACTGTCGGCGGCAAGGATTCCCGTATGGAGGTCAAGTACGTTGCTGTCTACAGCACTTAGATACCTTATTTCTTGCCATCTACTGATGGCGCCTTTTTACTTCTCTTCACACTGGTCTTGCTCTGATCTAGACATCGGCGCTGACAGACATTTGCATGGCAACTTGGAGCGGCTTTGATATTGTTTGCTTAGTTTGTTGGAGTTTGCGAGCGAGTCTTGTTTTTGTATATTAGCATAAGTACGTACGCAAATGAAAGAACACTCAGACCACTACCTCTATCTTCTCTTCTATCTATAAATCGGAACGACTTTATTTGGGCCAGATAGAGTGGCTACCTGCCCATGTTTACTCTTTCTATTTGACTTCAGTTTTAATTGCTGAACAGCCCCACCCTGTGAAAGACGAAATACTTTGACCATTTCATGAGAGCATACACAGTAGTTGCAATATTCATCCGCATTTAAGCACCTGCCATTTTAAGCGGTACTCCAAGCCTCTGATCAACCAAGAGATTGGGATTATTTTGAACAAGGAAAAGTCTTGTCGTATTGTGCCACTCGAAAAGGGCGTAAATCGCAGAATTACGCGGTATACTATGTACAAAGAACTTCTAATATGTACCGGAAAGATACGTCTCCTCTATAAACAACCATCTATCGCTTTCCTCACGGCGTCTAGATTCTGACCTAGTACACTCTAGTACTTGGCAGAGCGGCGGGCCTTGCGAGCACGGCGGCGCTTGCAGCCAGAGGGGCTGCTGGGAGCAGGGGCAGCAGCAGCGGAGGTAGAGGCAGCGGCGGCGGAAGAGGTGGTAGCGGGGGCAGCAACGGTAGGAGTGGCCGAAGCGGCAGCGGAGCTAGTGACTAGGGTAGTGGGGGCGGCAGCAGCGGGGGCCGAAGAAGAAGCGGCAGCGGCGCTGGTGGCGGCCGGGGCGGAGGCAGCGGGAGCGGAGGAAGCGGGGGCAGAGCCGGAAGAGCCACCACCCTCGTAGACAGCAGGGCCGGGGATGACGTAGCTTTGATTTATTATTAGTTTGTTGTTTTTACGTGCCTTCCCATTGATAGTGGGTGGAAATGGGTGTACTTACTTGGAGATGGTGTTGTAGATGTTGATCAACAGACCAGGGTCGGTGGCCTTGTAGGCACCGGGGAAGACAACACCCTCAGGCTTGGCAGTTCCAGATCCTTCTACCTTGAGTTGGTAGCAGCTAACGCCTTGGTTAGCTTCGTGATCGTGTCTGTGATGGGTGGAAGTGGTTGAAAATACCTCATGTAGTACTGGGCACCGTTGGCGGAGCCAGCGGCGTGGAGAGCGACGGTCTCGGCACGGAGAAGGTAGTCACCAGGGGCGATGTCAGAGGGAATGACAACGTTCTGCTTGCCGCAGCCCTCGTTGATCAGGTCGTTACCCCAGGTGTTGTTGTTGGCGAAGTAGCCAGACTCGAAGATCTTGAAGAAAGAGCTGGAGCCATCGGCGGTGGCGGCGTCGGCGACGGAGCTCAGGTAGACCATGACGGGGCCGTGGTGGGCACCTCCAATAGCCTCCTCAGTGCAGGCACGGGTGTTGTGCTGATGCATCTCGACGGTGATGGTGTCGCCGGCCTTGACGCCGCAGGTGGTGGTGGCGGCAGCGGAGTTGGCGTTGCAGCGCATGTCGTTGGACGTGGGGTCCTGGACGGGAGAGTTGGAAGCCTGTGATTTCTTGTTAGTCTCTGATCATGTTACACTTGGAGCTGCTGTGTAAGTCGACGTACGGGCATGCGGACGCAGCTGGACTCCTGGTCAACACCGTTGACCCAGAGTTGCTGGAAGATGGCGTGGCCGGCAACCATGTTGGCCATGGAGGCGGTAAGGGCGAGAGCAGCGACAGACTTCATCTTGACGGTGATTTTGGTTTGGTTGTTGTTTTGAAAAAAGAAGGTGATTTTCCGGGCGTTAGAAGAAGTGCACACAAAGGTGAGAAGTGAGTGAAATGACGCCGGCGTCGAGCTGTAGAGAAGGACTGAAAGTAAAGAGTGGACAGATGAGTGACTGAAACTGTTGAAGAGACAAAACAAACTCTCTTCTCGAGAAACGAGGAGAGCGAGATGCTATATGTATGGCCTCTCTGGGTTCCTCGCATCAACCCCCCTCCATCCCCCTCCCCTCCCGTCTTCAACCACCAACATCGTCCTCGGTCTTCCTCCTCCTCCCCACCAACCGGACATGGTCAGGCCAGTTTAGAGCTGCCAAGCCTAAATTCTGGAAAGGGGGACCGCAATCCCGTCCCACTGGCCCACGACGCCGCCTCATCGGTTCAACTAACAACCAGGGATCTGATACCTCGAAGGGAAGCGTTTAATCTCTATACCGCAAGGGTTCGTCAGGAACTGAATGGGCACACAGGCTGCAGCACCGCTTTCCCGCCGTAAAGAAGCAGTCCCGGCCGGGCATGCTCATGGGTGTCACCGATCGTTCATTGGAGCAATAATCTTGAAAGGGGTAAACGTTGTGGGGATGCCCGCTGTTGTGTCTAAATTGCGGGATGTGTGCCTTGCAGCTTCGGCTGCGCGGGTGACGCGCCCAGTTCGGGTTTGTCGACCAGGGGTTCATCAACTTGCAGCCAGTTGGTGCGGATTCTATACGGATTCGCTTTTGCTTATTCGGCTGGATAGGTTCGCAAGGCGGGCATCCCTCGCTTCAGTCGTCCCAACTTGACCCCAAGCTTAATTTAACCCCTTGGAGGACATCGCTGTCCCTGGAGTCGGATCCAAGTGTTTAACCACTGGCGTGTTGGCAACCAGTGCTGACCCCCGGTTTTTGATCCCCCTTCGCGGCTGGCCGTCCGAACCTGAAACACAAACAGCATGTGGCCCCTGGCGCTACTCAGTTTGGCCAAGATAAGACCACAGCAAAGACTGCTTGCTGTTCCTTTCTCTCTTTCAGGACTCATAGAAACAGGTGAGTTTACTGGTATAAACAAACACAGGCAGAATTCGGTGGAACCCTCGGGCAAAGCAATATGTGTCAGCAGCAAAAGTCTTACTAAACTTCGGCAGGCGACGTTGAATAGATTGAACCTTAGCCCTCGCTCGTGAGATCGACGGAGAATCACTAACATATACTTTCCTTGGTACTCGCGTGTCTCCGTGGTGCTGGACCGTTTGGCGCAAATCAAGTTAATCAACCCAGGTCGTGAATGATTCCGATTGGGCAACGGAGTGATCCGCGATCGTCATCCTACCCAGGGGCGAGCGACGGTCCTGGGGCTCGATGGATTGTGTCACCCAAAGTGGTTCAACCCTGGATGAGCCCTGCAAGCCCGTCTTCAGTGGTCGAAGCCTGTACCACTGGCGGACACGTGCGTTACGGGTAGAGATGACTTTTGGTCCTTCTGGACTTCTGAAGTAGGAGGGGGAGGAGAACGATGCAGAACACAGCCGCTCTCGAGTCAATATGCTGGCTCTGACAGTTCCCTTTGCGGTTATGGATTGACTCAATTCGTACGCCGCACTAACGCTCTCGACCAGCTCCAGCCGTAAATGAACGCCTGTTGTAGATGCCAATCCGTCTCTATTGCTTCGCCAAAAGACAAAGTTGGACCAATATCCTTCTCAACACCTCGGTTCTCAACTTATCAGCGTATGTGGAGAGCAAACGGTGGTCCCCCAAGCCTTTAGGCGGGAAATCATCTCCGAGTGAAACGAGTCTAGATCTTGGGGGCCAGTTCGGGGACGACTGAATTTTTCGATGGGGGGTTTACCCTTTTAGCGCAGCGCACCGCTGACCGCTGCACGTTTAATCATTTCGAAACCAGGGCCGCCAGTTCTGGCGCCTGGGCCATGTATGGTCCATGGATGATGGCGCCAACCGTCAACGAGCGAAGGGGAGAACGGGCTGCGGCAGGATAGAAAAGTCTTGGCCATATCGTGCCGCTCTAAAAAGAAATAAGGCCAATATTTTCAACCATGCATCTGGCGGCAAGTGAGGATATCGTACGTCATACCTGGTAGTGAAGTCCCAAGTTGTAGAAGTCTTGATCGTCTCGCATAATTGTGGTATTCCCTGAGATTACTCCAAGACTAATGACACTTTGTAAACTACCTAACCATAACTCTGGTGTTCGTGGAACGCTATCTAGGGCTTTATCGGGTTCTTCTCAGACACTCAGCCCAGAATCGTTGATCAGCAATAACTCTCTAGCAAGTTGACAATGCTTTCGATCCAATTGTCGTTGAATTGAGCTAGAATATGAGGGGACGTCATTTCGTGAACGGCAGATGCAGCAACGGCACAGTTCTGCCGGTTTAAAGACGGTGTGCATCAGTCAAAAATTAAGCTTGATGCCATCTCTGATTTAAGGTAGCCTATGGTCCTAGGCTATTCTTGACGACACATATTGGCCCACTTGACTGAAGAAATCTTCTGGAACCTGTGGATAACCTATCAAGGTATCTCAACTTCATCTCGTACTCGTGCCGAATATCCGAGTACCATCTTTCTACCCCCTCCATTCCCAAAGTCCTTTCCTCAGCTTTTGCACCCTGCAATTCTTTTGAAAGCTGCGTGTTTTCTTTTATAAGAAGCTCACCTTTGTGAGAGCAGATTTTCATGATAAGGCACTCGATAAGGGTATGATTCTTTTCTGGCCCGATGCGGGGCAACATCGTGAGCATCCACGGCTTGGCTATGAACCTTTCTTGTTGAATTCCAAAGCCGCGGTCTTCAAACCTCTCGTCTAAACTTCTCGCGCTGATCAAAGACCTGATGGCGTTCAGTGCGACGCTCAGGAGACGACTGGAGGTTGAACCGTTGGAGAGCAAAGTCCCAGCGAATCGCGATGGTGTTCGATCTTGACCAGGTAAAAGTTCAGCAATGGTCTTGCCAACTGCTGAATGTGTGTTATGAAACACGAATCAGGGCCATCATCCATGAATTCGGTAAGATAACCATCTTTTACCGCTGGTCTGTGATGGTCATGACCTGGGGCAGTGGTGCAGGCGCATTTCTCATCTCAACCGCAACGCGGGTGTCGTGTATGCGTCGGTCAAACATCTTAAATTCGAAGACGCCCTCGAGCTCACGCCGAATATTGGCCAACTGCTCGTGCGCCTTGAGGATCTCATCGGGCTTGTTGTCTTGATGAACATGAACCTTAATCAGAAACATCCATCGCTGTCCGGGATCCGCTGGTGACATGGTGTCCCATGTAGCTGTTTGAGTGAGAGGGCCATTATCGCCGTTCATTTGGAGAATGTAATGTCTTGAGAGGCAAAATTCTACATCTTCTCGGAAGAACTGATAGGTTTCCTCAATAGCCTCGCTTTTGAACCTGCATATCGTCAGATCACTATCGTCAACAACGGGTGACCAAAACTGACTGGTAGTTGTTGTCTTTCATCACAGACAACAAGTTTCGTTGGTCCCAAATCTCAGTCTTCTTGCGCTGAGTAACCGAGGAGCGGACCTGCGGAGGATCAGGGAAATCGGTCCACCGGAGGGTGCCGGCGCGCGCATTGAAGTCCACTTCCGGAGCGGTCGGGCCGAAGTCTTTATCCTTGAAGACCTCATATCGAGCCTGAAGGATGTAAGATTGACGGCTCAGTTGCTGATGCAAATCTTTCCACAGCATCTGGATGTCCTTGCGCGGCGTTTTGACGATCGAATTCTGGTTCGAGATTCCGCCGGGTTTGCCTGGGCCCTTGAAATAAAGGACGCGATGGAGACTCTGCCATGCGGGCATGGCGCAGAGACCGCCGAGGACGGAGCATGCCGCCTGAATATCATCGTCGTCGACGAGCGTCGTGAGAAAGAGCTCGTACATTTCGATTGACGACAGTGGCGATGGTGAGGGCAGATTTTGGGAAGAACTCGGATAGTGAGCCGTGGGGGGGGTGAGAGTGAGAGAGAGAGATTCATGAAAAGCGTCTCATTGAGGTGAGTGTGAAGGTCCCGTGAAATCGCTCTACCGATACGTACCTGCCGCGAATCTTGGGTCACGTGTTAGCCCGTCACTCAGGCGCGTTGGCGTCGTCGCGCTTTCTGCCGGTAAAGTGGCCGAGCCCCACCAAAGCTCGCTGCTTCCTCCCAAGCTCTGAGCTGCGATCATCGACATGCAAACGTCGCTCTGGAGAGTCAACAGCAGAATACTGTGCTCACTGATTAGCAAACGAACGATTCACTTCACTTGGATCATGTCGACCTCAAGTTCGTCTACCACGAAGCGGAAGCAAAGAGAATCAATTTCTCCACCGGCGGTCAAACGGAAGGTTCAGAGCGGCACAACGAGTAAACTCTTCTATGCCTACATCATCGTCCACCATTGACTTTTGGCCTTTTATAGAAAACGCAGTTGCCAACTTCTTCAAGCCTACTTCTCAAAAGCCAAAGGACCGCACAATATGGACCGAACGCGCACCGAACGACGACACCCCTGCGACACTGCTCGTTGGCCGCTACGAACCAGATGAGCCCTCGACCGAGTCGGAAAAGAGGAGGAAGGTAGCTGCCTTTGACCTGGTATGACAGCTATGCAGCTTCAAATAATCCAAGCCATTTCAATTGACGACTAGCCGCCCAGGATTCGACCCTAATAACAACTGCTTCGGGCAAGAAACATGCCGACGCCGCCGAAGACTGGAAGTGGTGGCATGCTTCTGTTCCTAGTAAGCTGCGGGACATGTACAACAACGAAGAGTATACTACCAGCACTTGGCTCTCAGAGTGATAGACATCAGCTAATCTTGATAGATACCGTATTGTGGTGCTGTCCAATCAAGCCGGTATTGTTCTCCACGCCGACCCAAAAGCAAGAACGCCGAAATCGACAAAAGACCGAGCCTCGGCGTTCAAGCAAAAGGTCAATGCCGTCTTGACACAGCTCAATATCCCGACCACGATTTACGCAGCCACAGAGAAAGACATATACAGAAAACCGAGGCCGGGGATGTGGAAGGAACTTTGCGCTGATTATGACCTTACGGAAGACGTTGACCTGGAGGAGAGCATCTTCGTTGGTGACGCCGGGGGTCGCATTGCGGCATCGAAATTCTCCAAAGACTTCAGCTGCTCCGACCGAAATCTTGCCCATAACATTGGGATCACCTACAAAACCCCAGAAGAGTTCTTCCTCGACGAGAAGCCTCGGGACTTTGTCCGAGAATTCGACATCGTCCATTTCCCGTACCCGAAGGACCCCAATTCAGAGACATCAAGTGCCCTCTTTGAGAAGAAGAACAAGCAGGACATTGTCCTCTCCTGCGGCCCGCCAGGTGCTGGGAAAAGTACATTCTTCTGGAAGTACCTCAAACCGTTAGGTTATGAGCGCATCAACCAAGACACTTTGAAGACGTCAGTTCAGCTCAACATGATCAAGCCCTGCAAATATTAATGTATCGGCAGTCGAGACAAGTGCGTGCAAGCCGCCAAAGAGCTACTTAGTGGGGGCCAATCAATAGCAATAGGTCAGCTCTCGCACGAGTCCTTTAGCCATTCCAGTCACTAATTCAATACAGACAACACGAATGCTGATCCCGATACGAGAGCTATCTGGGTCCAGCTTGCAGCGAAACACGACCTTCCAATCAGATGTGTTTGGTTCAAGACGCCACTTCATATTTGCGAACACAACGATGCCGTACGATCCATGAATGAATCCGTAAGTCCAACTTAAACTGCAAGTACATGACTGTAGCTCATGCAGGGCAGCTTAACCCCGAGTCACGAACCGCACTGCCTAGAATGGCCTTCAACGGATTCAAATCCCGCTTCAAGGAACCAAAAGTGAAGGAGGGTTTCCAAGACATTACCGAACTCGAATTCGCCTTCAGAGGAACTAAGGAAGAGCACGAAGTGTGGGCCAAATACTGGCTTTGATGTCTCAGATCTGTTCCAAACCATTTCCAGCCAACGCGAATGTGCCAGCGGCTCGAGTTGATGAAACTCTGACGCAAGTCCGGCGCAAGTCCCAGCCGACGCCACGAATGTCCACCATACTTCACGACTATGTCTGACCTCGACAATGCCTTACGCCAGTACATTCGAGAATAGAGAGCAAGCTGCTATGGTCAAAGACGGTACATCAACAACGTCTCGGTCGCCTGTCCGCTGCTTTCTCGTATCTGGCCCGGTCCCGCCCGGTCCCGGCCAGAATAACCTGCTTCTCTTTGTATAGGCGTCTGAGGAATAGCCAATGAATGACGATCAGACACTCGACGACAAATATGGCACCAAGCGAGGAACTGTTCCCAAGAAGATACGGTGAACTTCTGTGTATCTGACCTGCCACAGCACCGGCAGTATTGCCGACTGTCTGTTGAATCTCAATGGCCGTGGCGCGCCGATATTGTGGTGTTGTATTGACGTTGAGCCATGCAAGGTTCAGCCCTGTGCCGTTGTACACTGCGATAGTGCAGATGAAGCAGGCAAAATATTTGACAGCACTGTTACTGACACCAATCAGTATTGCATAGCCTACTGCGCCTATAAGATTGGTAGCGAAGAGGAAGTGGAATCATCAGCTACTCTACTATGATATTGGCTGAATGCAGGTCAACTCACCATGCCGCACTTTCCGTACTTGTCTGACAGAAAAGCGAAGGTGAAGAATGCCAGTGCTCCAAGGCAATCCACGGCTATTGTCAGATAGTTGCTAGCCAGCGTACCGTGACCCATGGCGTGCAAAATGGAGGGCAAGAAAGTGCCGAATCCGTGTGTCAAAATATTCTGGCAAAATTAAGTCCACGCGCTGGGAACGAAGTTGTCAGCAACTTCTTTCCTGTTGTTGGAATCTTCGAACAATACATACCTGAGCCAAGTCTTTGGGTCCAAGAAAGCGAGCTTCACTTCATTCCAATCAAGCTCGTTGCTGCCCATCTAGTCCAATCTCTCCTGGTGCCGCATGTCCATGATGACTCGCTCCTCATCACTGAGGAAGTATGCTTTGCGGACATCGCTAGGCAATCCGAACCATACAGCAAAGGCGCATGTGATACTAAACGCCCCCTTGATGAGATACACCCATCTCCAGCCAGCGTATCCACCAACGCCGTCCATTTGTAACAACCCGTACGCCAACAGGCCCCCAAAGGCACCGGATAATGCCATGCACGAGACGAGGTAGGACGTGCGCTTCGCGATCTCGTCTCGTTCATATACCATAGTTAGGTACATGTTGAGAGAAGGGAATAAACCGCCTTCGCAAGCGCCAAGGACCAAACGACAGGCGCACAGGCCGCCGACATTCCGAATTAGACCATTGGCTACTGTCGTGACGGACTAGATTACGCCAAGTGCTGTGAGAACGAAGCGGGGTTCGAAGCGTTTGACGAGGAGTACGGCTGGGACCTTGACGGGCACGTAATTTACGAAGAGGGATACGGCTGTGGAGTATTGCTGGTTTGTGGCGCCGATTTCTTCGGGCATACCGGCGACTTTGACGTTTCCTGCATCGCGGTTAGGATTTTGATCGTAAATAGGAAGTGGATGACAGAAACAAAGTTTCCGGTACAGTGATGGAGACTCTCAAAGGAACATATGCAATACCTACCGATGTTGGCTCTATCGATGAAGCATGAGAGATAGACGATGAAGAGTACGGGCGTGATTTATAGGTACAGCTTTCTCACAACTTTGGCTTCTTTGGCACGATCGATATGGATATTGGTTGAATGAGCAACGCTGATATCATGGTTGTTGACATCGCGGCTCTGCTGTTCTTGGTTTCTTCTAAGATTTGGGTCTCGGGCATTTCGAAAGAGTACAGTATTATATCGCTCAGGTGTAAACTAATGTTTCTCAAGATAGGTTGAGAGAGAATTTAACTAAAGTATAACAGAAGACATGTGCAGAGTCTACGCAGACTATGTCATATCATACCTATCTATAGATTATAGGTTCATCTAATCTTTGGTAACTTAGTAATAACTTCCTAATCGATCTCAAGGATGGTGTAAAGATCAGATAAGTTGCTCGCAGCCTCGTTCCGCATTGCGGTACAGAGTTAGGAAAATCCACGGTAGTGACATGAATATTAGATGCTTGAAATCATGTCGCCTTGGCTATCCGGATCCATCCTCGTCAACCAAGGACTACCGGCGACTGTAAAGCGCGATAGGCAAATGAAGTGCGGTAATGATCGGGTTGAAGCGGGTTGGCAACCCGACTTGACGTTCGGTTTTGACACACGGCGCGGGTCGCGAAACCGTCTTCATCAATGGGTAACCTCCGGTCGGTTCGAGAGCCAGCTGCATGACCTCCAGTGAGAGGGACTTTTCAAGCCTTTGCAGGTGGCCGCATCCTAGTACCCGGGGCTAGGCCTCACATCTGTGGTTCTCTTGCAAAGGCAATATCCTCTATTAGACTACTCTACTCTGTGATATTCCCTGTTATCCCGCAAAAAGATATCATTTCGCTATCACGATAAATGCTACCTCATGGACAAAAACAAAGACAGGGGTGATAGCAGGCTAACTGGTTCAGTGCCATGCCATGAGCTCAGCCAGCCATCAAGTTGGAAACACGTCACAGTCCTTGATCAGATGTACTTCATCGAGCTCAGGAATAAAGATTCTCAGGTTCATGAGGCGATAGTTATCTCGGGCCAGCAAGCCGAGTCGTTGATACCCCAGGTTGTCACACCTAGCCCCACTTCGGAGGAGGTTTCGGAGGCTTCGGGGTTCGCCTCCGGTGCCGAGCCCGGGAATGCGGCAGCCCTGATAAGCTGCGTGTTGGAGATCGGATGGTGCGATTCGGGGAACAATGCGGGGGATATGCAACCTGATGATTAGATCGGGGACGGACTCCTAGGTAGGAGAGATGCAAAATGATTTATAACTTCATTGAGCTCAAGCGTCCAAGTGTCTAGCTCAATTGGCTCAGCGTTTACCGATCCGATATACCCCAACGATTCTATCTTTGAATCACCTGCATTTCATCGCTGTTCACAATGGGCTCGCTTGGGCCAAGTAGAAAGAGAATTAGAATCGCGATAGGTAAGTTGAGGGCTTCAGTGGGCAGACTTTCGGCTAGTGTCCTGACAGTCTTTTGCTTACAAAATATCACCAGATCGCGGCGGCACTTTCACCGATGTGCACGCTTATATACCCGGCTCTGATGAACCAGAGATGGTATTCAAACTCCTTTCAGTAGACCCAAGAAACTACAAAGATGCACCGACCGAAGGTATACGACGCGTCCTGGCGCATTACAGAGGCGCACCAGTATCCCGCGATGAGCCCCTCGATATCTCCGACGTCGAATCAGTTCGAATGGGAACGACTGTGGCGACGAACGCCCTGCTAGAACGACAGGGCGAGCGCGTAGCGTTCCTGACTACCAAAGGGTTTCGGGATTTGCTCGTCATTGGCAACCAGGCCCGGCCGCACATCTTTGATTTGAGTATCCACAAGTTGCAGAATCTGTACGAGAAAGTTGTCGAGGTTGAAGAGCGTGTGACGATGGAGGAGTTCTTGGAGAATCCGGAGAAACAGCCTATTGATGTTGAAAGCGATCCGGAGCTTGTGAAGGGATTGACGGGCGAGCCGGTTCGAGTCCTTCAGAAGCCTGATCTGGGGGTCGTAGCAAGCCATCTGAGGGATCTGAAGGCTGAGGGCTTTAAGAGTGTTGCGATTTGCTTCATTCACTCCTATCTTTACCCCGATCACGAGAATGAGATAGCGGAACTAGCGCGATCTATGGGCTTCGATGTTTCCGTGTCTTCGGAACTGCAGCCAACAGTAAGATCAACCTCCCTCCTCTCATGTACTGCTTCACAGGCTCACATCCGTCTAGATCAAGATGGTATCCCGAGGAAACTCAGCAAACGCCGACGCGTACCTCTCCCCCCTCATCCGCCGATACGTCCGCGACTTTGGCAGTGGCTTCAAAGGCGGCCTAGACGCCATCGCGAGCAAGCTCCTCTTCATGCAAAGCGACGGCGGGCTCTGTCTCTGGCAGAACTTTTCTGGACTACGCGCAATCCTTTCCGGTCCCGCTGGTGGTGTCATCGGCTTCGGCAAGTCCTGCTATGACCCTGAGACCAAGATGCCGGTGATTGGCTTCGATATGGGCGGCACTTCGACGGACGTCAGTCGCTTTTCGGGCACGTATGATCATGTATTCGAAACGGAGACGGCTGAGGTCACGTTGCAGACACCACAATTGGATATCAACACTGTTGCTGCTGGTGGCGGCTCGATTCTGCATTGGAAGAATGGACTGTTCGCGATTGGGCCGGACGTGAGTTACCACAGCATATTAGTAGCTCTTCGGTGCCGTGAGCTGACATCAACTTATAGTCCGCCGGCGCTCATCCAGGGCCTGTGTGCTACCGCAAAGGCGGACCTCTCACAGTCACCGACGCAAATCTCTTCCTTGGTCGTCTACGTCCCGAATACTTCCCTTCCATCTTCGGACCAAAGGAAAATTCACCCCTCGACTACGGCGCAGCAGCCGCAGCTTTTCACACTCTGACCGAGAAGATCAACTCCGAAGAGGGGAAGTCATTTACCCCGGAAGAGGTCGCTAGCGGCTTCCTTCGCGTCGCCAACGAGAGCATGAGCAGACCCATACGCTCGCTCACCGAAGGTAGAGGCATCCGCACATCAGATCATGTCCTAGCCACATTCGGGGGCGCCGGCGGGCAACATGCGTGTGACGTCGCTGAAGCGTTGGGCGTGGAGCGCGTCGTTATACATCGGTTGTCATCCATCTTATCGGCGTACGGCATGGCGCTGGCTGATTTGACGCATGAGATTCAGCGTCCCAAGGCGGCTGAGCTTTCTGACCTCTCTGATAAACAGCTGACAGAGGAGTTCAAGATTTTGATGGATGAAGCTACAGCGACTTTGGTCGTTCAGGGTTTCTCAGATGAACAGATCGAGCACGAGTTGTTCCTCAATTTGCGGTACAAAGGTACCAATAGCTCGCTCATGATTCGAAAGCCTGAGGGGTCGTGGAATTTCACTCGTCAATTTGTCGAGCACCACGAAGAGGAGTTCGGCTTCGTTCTGAACCGCGACATCCTTGTCGAAGACATTCGCGTCCGCGCGTTGGGCAAGACGCCTGATTCCAACGTGACCAGCGTATCGCAAGCTCTGAAGTCTGTTGAGACTAGGCTAGTAGAGAGCAGCAAGAAGGCTAGCACTACGAAGTTGTACACAAGCGGCAAGTGGCATGAGGTCGACCTCTTCAAGCTCGAAGATCTTGCGCCGGGTGAGCGGGTCGTCGGTCCGGCAATCATCCTGGACCAGACTCAGACCATCATGATTCAGCCGTCTTGGATTGCAACTGTGCTTCCTCGTCACCTGCTTCTCGACAAGGAATCGACTTCACTAGGCTCCGTCAGTGGAGCCGTCAAACTTTCAGCAGAGACAGATGAGGTCGATCCGATCCAGCTATCAGTATTTGGTCACCGGTTCATGAGCATAGCGGAGCAGATGGGCAGGTCACTGCAAATGACTTCGGTCTCCGTCAACATCAAAGAGAGGCTGGACTACTCTTGTGCCATTTTCTCACCTACAGGTGGTCTAGTAGCCAACGCGCCGCACATCCCGTGTCACCTAGGCGCCATGAGTTATGCGGTGGCCTACCAGGCCGAGCGCTGGGGTAATTCCCTTCGCCCAGGAGATGTGCTGGTCTCCAATCACCCGGCCGCCGGTGGATCCCATCTCCCCGACGTGACGGTAATCTCACCAGTAATTGACGAAGACACCAACGAAGTCCTCTTTTGGACAGCTTCTCGGGCTCATCATGCCGACATTGGCGGTATCTCGGCTGGCTCCATGCCGCCGCATTCCAAGGAGATATGGCAGGAGGGAGCTTCCTTCCTATCCTTCAAGCTGGTCGACGGGGGCAGATTCGACGAGGAGGGTCTTGCTGAGATCATGCTAAAAAAGCCGGCTTCGTACCCAGGTTCTTCTGGAACAAGGACGTGGAACGATAACGTGAGCGATCTGAAGGCGCAGATAGCTGCGAATCAGAAGGGCATCAGGCTCATTCAAGATTCGATCAAGGAGTATGGTCTACCGACGGTTCAGGTAAGTGCAGTCTATCTAGGCAATATACCCGTGATCGGAGCAGCGAACAATTGACAGTCAACAACAGAAATACATGCTCGGAATCCAGAACAACGCCGAGAAGGTAGTCCGAAACCTTCTCCGCCAAGTTCACGATCAGTTCGATGGTCTCCCACTCGAGGCTGAGGACCAGATGGACGATGGTTCTAAGCTCAAGCTCAAGATTCGCATCAATCGCGAAGAGGGCTCTGCTGTTTTTGATTTCACAGGGACGAGTCGGGAGATGTACGGCAACCTCAACGCACCCCGCGCCATCACCTTCAGCGCCATCATCTATGTCTTGCGCTCGCTGGTCAAGGAGGATATTCCGTTAAATCAGGGTTGCTTGGCTCCCATCAACGTCATCATACCCTCTGGGACGATTATATCTCCTTCGCTGGGTGCTGCAACAGTCGGTGGGAATGTCGAAACGTCACAGAGAGTGACGGATGTGGTGTTGAGAGCGTTCCAAGCCGCAGCGGCTAGCCAGGGAACGTGTAATAACTTGACGTTTGGGTATGGAGGTGAGATGGTCGACGGAAAGGCAAAGCCTGGGTTCGGGTACTACGAGGTAAGTCATCGATCGTTTCTCACCCCGTCAGTCATCGTTTACTAAATCCCATCGAAACCAGACCATTGCAGGCGGCGCCGGTGCGGGACCAAGCTGGGAAGGCCAGTCCGGCGTACACGTCCACATGACCAACACTAGAATCACGGACCCGGAGTCTCTAGAGCGTCGGTACCCGTGTATTCTCCGTGAGTTCGGTATTCGGCGTGGGTCAGGCGGCCGAGGCAAGTATAATGGAGGAGACGGTTGTATCCGTGAGATCGAATTTCGTCGAGACTTGCACGTCAGTGTGCTAAGTGAAAGGCGGACAGTTCCTCCGTATGGTCTAGCTGGAGGTGAGCCTGGAGCTCTGGGCGAGAACGTGTGGGTTCGGCATGACGAGTACGGGACACGGGAGATCAACCTTGGCGGGAAGAACAGTTGCGAGATGAAGAGGGGAGATCGGATCATCATCAGTGAGTCAAGTCCGTCGATGTCAGGGATATTGGTTTGCTAACAGCTCGGTAATAGGGAGTCCGGGTGGAGGTGCATACGGTGCCTTGTGAGGTCGTCGTTGTTCTTGGGGATGATACGACGGTGTTTTCATGGTGGGCCGGTCGTTCGTGGTTTCCATAACCAAACCCGATGAGGGCGAGGGAAGCTATTTAATAGAAGTTCAGAGTGAGAGCCACAACTTTAGAAATTCTGGAGACTTGCCAGGATATGAGACCAGACTTGGCTCGAAGTTGACGCGTAAGACTAAGGACCCCCAGCTTGGCCTCGGTTGTGTGTGCCGTGATGCCGTGGTGCCGTGCTTCCGTCCACGCGGTGCCGTTATAGCCGTTGACGGACATTCTTAGCATCAAGGTTTCACGCCATTTTGCGGGAGGGAACAAATTCCCCATGTTGACTGGTGGAGGCACTTGCGATGACCTGCATTTGACAGATCCGATCTTTCGGATCGACGCTTTTTTTAAGATTGAGTTTGCTCGGTGGGTGCATTTTTGCGTGATCCAAGCGCCCCACTCTTTTGACTTCATCCTATGAAGACTTCATCGCATCGATAAGCAACAAGTCTGACCACTTACCGTATTCTCGCCGGCAATTTTAGTGTTTATACACTAGTTGTTTCTTTTCTCAGCATGGCGTGTTCCGTTTCCTTGTCGAAAGAGGTTTGTGCAACAAATACAAGCGAAGATGGGGTCTCTCTTCGCTTGGAACTCGGAAATTGTTCTCTAACGACCGGGAGAGCATCAAAAGCTTAGTCCAAACAAATTGCTAGGCAAGATAATTTGCAGTAAGCGACTTCACTGCCTACCGAGCACAGTCTAGCATTATCTACACCACCACATGAGGATGCGCACTTCCACCCCATTCATCAACCTTGGGGAAGCCGCCATCGCTGGGACGATGGTTTTTAGAGCGGAGAGAGCACGGCCAGAGTTAACATTCAGCTATATGTTGATGTAGACGAGCAGAAATATTCTTTCGAAGGATTTCAGTCAAGCAAGTGTCACTCAGTCGATTTAAAATCACCAGCGGAAAGCAAAGTAGTTGAGTCAAGTCATGAGGATTATATTGTAGGTACATGTTCCCCATGTCCATATGTACAGAGAATGGCCAAGGGGCCAAGTGATGCGCATCAGCTTACACACCACAGAAAAGAAAAGGTGGTTTCTTCCCTCCTAAGTTCTTTAACCAAAAACAAAGTTCACTCGCAGTCTCTCAGAGACTGAGTGCGGCAACTGCAGCACCATCGCCGCTACAGCAAGCTGTGTTGGCGACCAAGACCGGAACTCAAGAACACCAAATAGCTCAGGAGCGAGCCATTTAGCAGGCCTTGAGGGTAGAGTACTTGCAGGCGCTGGAAGGGCCAGTGCCGATCTTCTTGGGCTCGTTGCCGGGGGTGGTGCCCTGGAACTCGGTGCAGATCTCCTTGACGGAGGTGGCGCAGGTGCCGGTGATGGTGGAGGTGTCACCCTTGTTGGAGTTGATGCCAGTGAGCATCTTGCCGTTGTAGGCCTTGACGTTCTTGACAACGACGGTGCGCTTGCCCATGGTCTTGCAGTTACCGCAGGAGCGGTAGAGCTTGCCGAAGTCGACGACGGTGAAGCCGTCAATGGTGACGGTGCCGAGACCGTTGTGCTGGATGACCTTGTCCTCGGCGCCGCGGGCACCACCGCCAATGATGGAGGCGTTGCCGTCGCCCTTGAGGGAGAGAGCGTCCTCGCAGACGGCGGTCCACCAGACGTTGTTGATGGTGCAGGAGCCCTTGCAGTGGACACCCTCGATCTGGTCAGCACCGATGATGGCGTTCTTGAGGGTAGCGCCGTTCTCGAGGAGGAAGACAGCATCAGCGTCGCCACCCTCAGCCTGGCCAGTGCACTTGACGCCACGGCCGTAGGTCTTCATGCCACCATCGAAGGTGCCCTTGACGGACTGGGCGGACTTGTAGGTGACGGTGCCCTTGGAGGCGGGGATGGGGAAGGAGGCGCGCTTCTCGATGGCACCGAAGTTGTTGGGGGAGGACTCGGCGCCGGGGGCGGCGATGACGGCAGAGGCCGAGAGGGCAGCGAGGACAGCGGAGAACTTCATTTTGAATGTGGTGGTTGGTTTAAGAAAACACGTAGAGTTGGAAGTAGTTTGGAAGTGTTGACAACGAATGAATAACCACCAGGGCTAAAGAATGTGAGTAGTTGGATGAGTAAAGAGAGACTGTAGCGGAAGATGCTGATGAAGGTGATGAGGAATAAGAGAAAAGAAGGTTTGATGGACGGGAGCTTGCAACCTTCTTATATCTTTCGATCTTGGGCAGATTCTGGGAAATTCTGCTCTCCTCCAAGCTCCTCAACAACATACTTTCCCCTTCCCGCAGGAGTCATCCTGATCCTGCATCTCATTCACGCTGCCAAGACCTTAGATAGTGGGACCTTGGTAGGTCGAACAGCTCACAGTGACACGGATACACAAGCTTTTGCCCAGGGCTGGGGGGTGAACTGATGCGACGAGGGCCAAAAGTTCACAGCCCGCAGTCTGGCCCACGATGGAGCTCACGGGAGTGTTGGCGAGTGGCTAGTCTGTGTCCTGGTTCAATGGACGAGCTACACGCCCCCCGACTTGAGCTCACGGGAATGGGATGGAAGGGACATGGCCCCCTTCCTCTTCCTCGCCTCTGCCTGAATCGACAAGGACGGGGAGTTAGCGAGGAGTCTGTCGATTCATTTCGGGCAGAGCCTTCCTTCCCTGTCCGTATGATCCACCCCGATATCAGAAAGTGGTTCGGGCGCCTCGGCGAGCCGCAGTCATCAGCGCAGCGACAAGCTGTTTCAACGTTCGAGGGGGCAGAAAGACTGCCCAGTCTCTAAGGAGGTGCACAGCTTGACATGGAGGCATTCCTGTCGACAATTGGCCAAAGCTATGGGCTCAGGGGATGACCCATGACCGTGCTGGATATGGGTCGGAGATGGGGAACCTGAGCAAGTTGGAATCTCACTCTTTTCTTTGCCTTGCAGACCCGGTATTTGCGCTTACCCAGAGTAGGCTCGCATGTCGTATTTGTCTAAAATGTGGCGCTGTCTTCCTGGTTAACCATGAAACAAGTCAGGGGCTGTCACAAGGTTGGTATGTGAGTTGAAAGATTAGACCATGTTCAAAAAGATGGAGTTGAGATCCACAGTAAAGTCCTCTTTGGGAAAACTGCGGATGTGTAGTCAGAGATTTGGGGGATTTCTGCAGTCCTGGGCAGCACTCTGTTGGCAGAATGTGTGTCTCGGTCTCGGAGCTTATGCCGTGAGCAGAAAGACGCAAAAAGCAGACTGTCGGCCAGAATCCGCCATGTTTCCGTCACTAGCGCGCGGGAACAGCTCCCATTGGTCAGCACCCTGGTTTCGGTTGTATATCGAAGGGAGATGAACTGGGGCCTTTTCGAGATGGAACCAACGTCTATTTAGATAAGACCCGTTACCACGGTCCTGAGTAATTCCCGGCCTCACGGACTGGCGTCGGAGGAGAGAGACTCAAAAAAGTGGCTATGGGCGGCGGTAGTGTCCTCACTATTCTAGCTGGTTTCTGTTTGTATTCTAGCGAGAGTTGATACCCAAGACATCGGGACTACGGTAGTCGTCTGTGAGTTCTTGGCTCCTTGCAGCCATGGTTGAGCCGTTTCTCGAATAACCTCTCGAAGGTTTAGGGAAAATCTGTCTGACGTGTTTTGGGGTGGAGCGTGATCCCGCAAACTCTGATTTTCTCTGCCGCACAATGAGGGTCCCGGCTAACCCAGGATGGCACTTTTAATCCGTGGCAAGCCTGATATTATTATCTCTTCGGATTTCCCCCAGCTGCTGGCAGCATATTGTCAGTGCACGGCGCAGCCCAGTCCCCCCTTGACCGCAAAATCTGCCCCCATGGACACATGTCCGCCATCCCTGTTCAAGCTTATTGACCTTAATCAGCTTTCCGGGGTATCGCGGGAGCCGAAGCAGAGAGAAAAAGCCGGACCAGCGCGATGCAGGCTGTGCGCTAGCAGCAAGGGGGGCGGCAGAAGCACGTTGCCGCTGAGACATCGCTCATCTGAACCAGATCCAACATGCGGCATGCCACTGTCAAAGTTCAGCTTCCGCCAGTGGTGGATCAAAGTCCAAAGCTGCTGAATCAGTTCGGTAGTCTTTTGCGACATGTCTAAATTGCAAACAGCCCGAGACATACCCCGCCAGACATAATGCGACAGTCGCGATAGAGTCAATTGATCTCCAGTTCTAACAATATATCACCAACGCACCTGCGTCTGGCGTTACGGGTGGGATGCGACTTGCAGGCCGGAAAGAGCACCATCGGGATCCGAAAAAGGCCAAAGGAGGCTCTCAATGTCACCGTTGCCATCGCTTTTGGGCCTGCCCTGTCGGACGAGGCTCCGATTCCCGTTGCATCGAGGCATGGTTAAACAACGGATACCGGTTTTTGTGGTCTGGCGGTGTGTGAGTGAAAATCCGCTTGTTTGCCGAACTACCTGGGAATGCGGATAACCCGTGGCCTAGGCACGAATAGGCGAAGATGGGAGCGGAGATCGGATGCTCTCAACATTATCACCTTAACACTAAATATTGATCCATGAGGGTGGATATCATAGCAGATGAGCCCGGCAGGCTGGCAAGGGGGCGTGATCTGGTGAGGCCCGGTTCTTCTAGTCATGGACCTAATTCCACCAATGCGAAAACGATTCAAGTTCTGTGGGATAGTCGTGTGTGTGTGCCCACGGCACTCACTCCAGAAACGTGATGGGTTGTGATGTGTGCTAAGGAAAGTCTGGAAAGGAGTCGCCAAGGCTTTTCAATAGAGTGTGCCAAGACATTCTGGCACCCATAGATCGGCGCACTTTTGGGCTGCGCTGGCCGAGGTTCCCGGTCCAATCGAGACAATTCGGTCGCAAAGAGCTTTGTTTTGCTTGAGAAACCAGCCAAAACTCTGTGGTTTTTGACTTTTTCGGCGTTTCTTGACGAATTTTCTTGTGTTTGGGCGATGCTCACTCGAGAGCCGAGTTTAAAGATTAATCGGCTTCCGTACGGACTGAGCCGGGAGGCCTCCCCAGGAACCGCAATCGGTCTTAAAGGGGCCCCCGACTCGCCGCTCGCGCCGTCTGTGGGGGTCGGAGTCGCCCGGCTACAGTCTGGCCAGAATTGTTAGTTGAGGGGGTCATGGCCCATGGGTGGATCATGTCCTTGTGTGAGAAGCCCACCCCGAGATTGCGCCCCAAAAGGAATTACGGGACAATAGGCATCGGTCAGGAATTTGACAACGTACCGAAGCTGGGCTGGACCAACAAACTCCCTGGGCTGACAGCAATCAATATTGTCCATCAAGGCTCTCAAGACTTTCGAAATTCAAGTTGCCCGCCCACGAGACTCTAGAGGGGCCAACCTGGATGTCGGGGCCACATTGAGATCAACGTTGTATGAGTGGCACTCTTCTCCCGCTTCTTCTCTTGCTTCATGCTCTGGGCTCCCGTGCTGGAAACTCCACTTTTGGATGTAAAACACAAAGCTCTATGTTGGAGACTCTTACCAGCCGCACCAGACAGACGAGCCAGTCTCCTCGAATAGTGCACCCTCTGCCGTTTCTCGTATAATGAGCGGAGGTTGTGTCTTGTTCGCAATCTATCTGTATTCTCTCTTTTCAGGTGAACGACCTAGGCTCACCCCTGATCTTCATTGTGAAGCAGCAGTAAGCGCCTCTACGCACTGAACTACTACCTCACCCAGCCACCTCTCACGAACTGCAGAATCTTAAGACAGGGGCCTGTTGAATATAGGTCAACTTATGCTATCTCTTACAGACTTGCTTATACCCATGATCAAGCATCGTACAGATTGCCTTGCCGCATGTGGCCTGGGATGTCGCGATTACAACATTACGCCTGACCCTCAGGCACAGAGTTACATCCGCAGATACGACATGCGAAGAGCGTACCCTTCCTGGATGGGCGGGATGCCGTCAGGGCGATCATTGTGTTCGGACGAATCCGTGCCGATTTGCCCATGGGACTGCTTCCGAGGGCAGAGCTCGTACTTTGCAGGCCAATAACACCCACCTCCCACCTCGGGGCCCAATAGTCGATTCCATTTCCGCTTACCTAATAACCTTCGTCTCATCTTCAAAAGTCCACTAGTGTCAACAAATGAGAGTATGATGATGTTTTATGCCTGCAATCACTACACAACACTTGATTCAGAGCGCTGACTCGGGTCTGGGTTATTCGGAGTGTATGAAAATGAGGTTCTACACCAATCCATCCTTCCCTTGAACTACGTAAGTACGCGGTAATAAGCAGAAATCCAGCTTTGCGCTCTATGCATCGGTGGTGATTACAAACTGATATGGCCCCTCGGAAATGCATTCCGTCTGCGATCCTCAATTTGCTTGCTTCATTGCCCTGGACAGATCACACCCATGGCGCCGAGACTAAAACCCTTGCCAAGGCCCGTATTACTATGCAAATACACAGATAGCCCCAGCGTAATCTGTGCTACCTTGAGCTTCTCTTTGTCAAATAGGAACTTTTCATCCGCACAAAATATCTGTAAATAAAGTAGACAGTGGTTGGTGAAGATGATGGCGAGAAATCGCGCGAAAACGGGTGACGGGTACGCTTTCCGTGCGTTCCTCTAATGATTGATCCAGAGATCCAGCAGCTCTCTCTACCTCCTTTTGCCGCACAGCCTTCACGCTCTGTGGACAAGATGTCACAGAAGTTGCGGTCTATCATTCCGCCTCCAATAGTCCTACTTGGAGCCCCGCCAAGGTATCCCAAGCGAACATCACTCCAAGCCTCTGGTCGGTTTCTGACTCTTCACGAGGCCAAGCAGCATCCACTCAAATGACAGACATCTTCACAACCTTGTTCGACGGCGGGCGCTGTGGTGCTTCTCGGCGGAGAAAGCCGCCCGTAAGCAAAGCGTTGACTGCTCCATCAGACAGGTGTTACCGCCGGACCACTGCCGCTGCAAGGGGAATTCCAAGGTGCATATGCTTTGCCCCTCCCCCTAATACCCATTACATGGCTCGGTACATCGCTTCATCAGGCATGGAGGGCTTTCTACATA